TATGGGATATGTACTCTATATAATACTATACAGCAGTAAAACAATGAAATCCGGTCATTTGCAACAAACTGGAGGAATCTGAAAAACATCATGCTGAGTGAAATGAGCCAGTCCCAAGGGGACAAATATCATATGTTCTCCCTGATCATCGACAACTAACTGAGCACCTAAAAGGAAACCTGGAGAAGTGAAACGGACACTATGAGAAACAATGACTTGATCAGCCCTTGTCCTGACTATCGAGGAACAACTTACTATTTTATTCCTTTTAGTATTTTTTTGTTCCACTTAATACAATTGGTTGAACTCTTTAATTAACACACAATTATTTTTAGGCATTTAAAATTACCTGAAATTGATCCCTGTTAAATATTAAGAGTAGGAATAAGAGAGGAAGTAGATGTACAGATTTGGGACATGGTCACTCGGACTTATCCCTAATGGTAGAGCTAGAATTGTGCCGGGGATCCCAATACAATCCCATCAAGGTTGCATGTACCAATGCCATCTCACTAGTCAAAGTGATCAATTTCTGTTCACAATTGATCATAATGATAGGACTAAGTGTCAAAGGGATCACATAAACAAGACTAGTGTCTGCTAATAATAACTGATAGAATTAAAAAGGAGAGAACAATCCTACATGGGAAGCAGGATACACAGCAGACTCATAGAATGGCAGATGTCCTAAACAGCACTCTGGCCTCAAAATCAGCCCTTAAGGCATTCGGATATGGCTAAAAAGCCCATGAGAGTATTTCAGGCATGGAAAGCCAAGACACTATGGCAAAAAAAAAAGGCCTAAATGAAAGATCTCTGTTCGTGAGATCCCAGTCGAAAGACTGGGACATCAAAGAAGGAGGTACCTTTCTCTGAAGGGAGGAGGGAACTTCCACTTTGACTATGACCTTGTCTAAACAAGATCTGAGTTGGTGAACTCAAGAGGCTTCCATAGCCTTGTTAGCTCATGACAAGAGTCTTGAGTGATTACTTACGTCATAAATAAGAATGTTAATTGTTAAATCAACAATGGGAGTCACTGTGCACCTACTCCCCATGTAGGATCTCTGTCATTAATGTGTTGTACTTTCCCAATTAGTGGTAAAACTACTACTCAAATAGTACTCTATACTTTCTGTATCTGTGTGGGTGCAGTCTGTTGAAATCCTTATTTAGTAAATACTAAGTAGATCTTCTGTATATAAAGATAATTGAAAATGAATCTTGTTGAAGAATGGGATGGGAGAAGGAGTGGGAGATAGTCTGGTTGCAGGTGGGAGGGAATTTATGGGGGGGAAAGCCGCTATAATCTAAAAGTTGTACTTTGGAAATTTATATTTATTAAATAAAAGTTGAAAAAAAAGAAACAAAAAAAGACTTGAGATTGAGCCATAGCATTGTCACAGACTCCATGTATGACTTCATTGCTCAGTTTGCTCATCTGTAAACTGAAGATTATTTTTCTAATCCCTATTTTGTACTTTATAGCATTGTTGTGATATCCTTTAGATGACATATGTAAAAGATAGTAGGCTCCATATCCAAGAGTTCTTTTTCTACAAATTCAGTCAACGTGGAGCAAAAATAATTGAAAAAGAAAATTTGCATCTGTACTAAACATGTACAGACTTTTCTCACGATTCCCTACACAATATAGTATAACATTTATTTCCATAGCATTCACATTTATCAAGCAATCTAGAGATTATTTAAAGTGTATCAGAGAATGTGAATAGGTTGCACGCAAATACCATACCACTTTACAGAATCCATGGATTTTGGAAGTCCTGGAACAATCCCCTGGAGATACTAAAGCAAAGCCTTTATTTTGCAAACCTCCAAGAGACAAACCTAAGGTTTTAGTGATGTTGGACTTAAACAGAAATCACCATGATCAGAACAGAAACGACAGCCCTTTCTTTCTTTCCTCAGATGTCACATGGTTTCACATTCTTCTCACCCGTATTATCATTGACAGTATTGCTCTGATAGAGGGATCTAGTAATGGCTGTTTGTCTTTTTCTTAGTTGCTATTTCAAACTGATCTTTGCAGGCAAACATTCTCTGGGTACCTCTTCAGGAAGCAAAAGCAGGATTATCTGATTACTAGACTACTTTGTTATGTAGCATAAAGACATATTGATAATAATTGGTTAATTGCATACACTGTAAGTCTAGCCTCACATATATGATTAAATACATAAATTCAAAAACACATATGCTCACACATGCATAAGTGCATGTGCACACACACATACAGACACACATACACACCACCACCACTACCACACTGAGATACTCATCCTCCTTTTTTACACATAGCATATCACATGTTAAAGGTACAAAGGGGTCCTTGAGAAAGAGAGCCTCTCAATCTAGGTCATGTTGTTAACTTGCCAACTGGGGCTTATTCTATCCAATAGATGCTCCACTGATTTCACATGTCCTGTTTCTATTTTAACACAAATTGAGGCAGAACTAAATCATCTTAAAGCATCTGTTGATAGACAGTTACTCAGTCACTTAATTTCATGGTCTTCATAACCCAGTGTTATCATTTGGAATCTTTTTTGCAATCCCTTTATATAACAGTCTCTGATCTTTTCTTATCTTTCTAAACTTTTCGCCTTCAAACTGATCTTCATAGGCAAACAAGCCCCAGGTGATCACTGGTTTCGTATTAGGAGGCAAAATGAAAAGAGGAGCCTTATTATTAGACTACTATGTGCTCTATCCCATAAGGAAAAACTGCATGTCAGACAAAATCCCTTGGAGTTATACAAAGTACTTCAAAAACAGCTCAATACTAGTTATGTGTAATCCTCCGCCTAGCGGCGCCGGCACACCGGGTTCTAGTCCCGGTCGGGGCGCCGGATTCTGTCCCGGTTGCCCCCTTCCAGGCCAGCCCTCTGCTGTGGCCAGGGAGTGCAGTGGAGGATGGCCCAGGTGCTTGGGCTCTGCACCCCATGGGAGACCAGGAAAAGCACCTGGCTCCTGGCTCCTGCCATCGGATCAGCGCGGTGCGCCGGCCGCAGCGCGCCGGCCGCGGCGGCCATTGGAGGGTGAACCAACGGCAAAGGAAGACCTTTCTCTCTGTCTCTCTCTCTCACTGTCCACTCTGCCTGTCAAAAAAAAAAAAAAATACTAGTTATGTGACCATGGGTTGTTACTCCACTTCCCTGCATTTATTTCATCTATTTTTTTCTTTTTTAAATTTTTATTAAAATAAATAAGAGATTTCATTAATTTCATAGATATAATTCTAAGAAGATAACCATACTTCCATACCTTCCTCAACCCCCCTTCTTTCTTCTTTTCTTTTTTCTTTAATTTTTTCAAAAACATAATTTCAACCCACTCTATAATCACAGGCTTAGTGCACAACTAACCATAATATTAAACAAGTAAAAAGTAAAAACTCCAGAGTTCCCACAAGAGTATGACAAGGGCTACAAACAACAATCAAATCACAAGATGTCCATATCATTCCTATATATTTTTAAATGGTGATAGTACTGATGATGTAGTCGGCCCATTTGGGGCATGACCCTTCAACCAGTTAGAAATTGACCTAATCATTTTCCCACTAGCTCATTTGCCTCTGCATTGTACAAAAAACATTATTAAGGGCTTTGTTAAATGTATTGCTGAAAATCCAGATATACTGTGCTCAATATTTTTCCAATGTACAAGGATATAAGGAACCCAATCTAAAATTTAAAAGAAAGAATAAAATGAGACTATGTGGGATGATGTATACTCGAGTACATGTAAGTTGTATTTTCATTTGGCCAGTTTGTTACTAACGGACTTTAAAGTTCCTGGTGCTTATTTTCTAAAAATGACTATTTTTTTCACTTTTAAAATAAAACAACTTTCCCCAAGGTGTCGCTTCTAACACAGATGGAGGTTTTTGTTTGTTTTTTTTTGTTGTTGTTGTTGTTGTTTTGTTTGGTTTTTTTTTTTTGCAAATCCTGGAAAGGAATTCACATCTGACAGGAGTGAGGAATTTAGAGAAAATAGCTCATGGATACAAAGCCCCATGCACCCCTTACCTGGCTTCAGAGATGTCCTGAAGGGTCATGTGACCCTCCAGGGTCAGTGGAATCACCACTGAAGAAGTTCTTGAAAGTCTGTCAGGTGGCCAGTGCTGTGCAGCGTAGCGGGTAAAGCCTCCGCCTGCAGTGCCAGTATCCCATATGGATGCTGGTTCGAGACCTGGCTGCTACACTTCCAATCCAGCTCTCTGCTATGGCCTGGGAAAGCTGTAGAAGATGGCTCAAGTTCTTGGGCACCTGCACCCATGTGGGAGATCTGGAAGAAGCTCCTGGCTCCTGGCTTCAGATTGGCTCAGCTCCAGCCATTGCAGCCAATTAGGGAGTGAACCCAGCAAATGGAAGAACTCTCTCTCTCTCTCTCTCTCTCTCTCTGTGTGTGTGTGTGTGTGTTTGTGTGTGTGTGTAACTCTCACTTTCAAATAAATAAATAAATCTTTTAAAAAAAGTCTCAGGTCACTGAGAAGGCATGTACCCTCGTACACACTTTTCATTTTAACCAATATTCACAGGGGTCCTATTCTATACTAAGGTACTAAGGTCCCCTCAACAGAGTAATTCCTCCTACAAGGTTTATGGTCATGTATTAAAGACAGGCATGTGGAGCAAGCACTGTGGTGTAGTGGGTAAAGCTGCCGCCTGCAGTACCGATATCCCATATGGATGCCGGTTTGAGTCCCAGCTGCTCCACTTCCAGTCCAGCTCTCTGCTATGGCCTGGGAAAGCAGTAGAAGATGGCCCAAGTTCTTGGGCCCCTGAACCCATGTGGGAGACCCGGAAGAGGCTCCTGGCTCCTGGCTTTGGATTGGCGCATCTCTGACCATTGTGGCCAATTGGGGAGTAAGTAGCGGATGGAAGACCTCACTCTCTGCCTCTCCTTATCTCTGTGTGTAACTCTGCCTTTCAAATAAATAAATCTTTAAAAATAGATAGGGAGCCGCTGTTTCTGCCCCGAGGTTAACAATCAAGATGGTACATGCTGAAGCCTTTTCTCGTCCCTTGAGTCGGAATGAAGTTGTCGGTTTAATTTTCCGTTTGATGATATTTGGTGCAGTAACATACTTTACTATCAAATGGATGGTAGATGCAATTGATCCAACAAGAAAGCAAAAAGTAGAAGCTCAGAAACAGGCAGAAAAATTGATGAAGCAAATTGGTGTGAAAAATGTGAAGCTTTCAGAATACGAAATGAGCATTGCTGCTCATCTAGTAGACCCTCTTAACATGCATGTTACTTGGAGTGATATAGCAGGTTTAGATGATGTCATTACGGATCTGAAGGACACAGTGATCTTACCTATCAAAAAGAAGCATTTGTTTGAGAATTCTAGACTTCTACAACCTCCAAAGGGTGTGCTTCTCTATGGGCCTCCAGGCTGTGGTAAAACATTGATTGCTAAGGCGACAGCCAAAGAAGCAGGCTGCTGATTTATTAACCTTCAGCCTTCAACACTGACTGATAAGTGGTATGGAGAATCTCAGAAGTTGGCTGCTGCTGTTTTTTCTCTTGCCATAAAGCTACAACCATCCATCATCTTTATAGATGAAATAGACTCCTTTCTAAGAAACCGTTCAAGTTCTGACCATGAAGCTACAGCCATGATGAAAGCTCAGTTTATGAGTCTGTGGGATGGATTGGATACTGATCACAGCTGCCAGGTCATAGTGATGGGAGCTACTAATCGCCCTCAGGATCTTGACTCGGCTATAATGAGAAGAATGCCTACAAGATTTCATATCAACCAGCCTGCTCTAAAACAAAGAGAAGCAATTCTGAAGCTTATCTTGAAAAATGAAAATGTGGATAGGCATGTAGACCTGTTAGAAGTTGCCCAGGAAACTGATGGTTTTTCAGGAAGTGACCTAAAAGAGATGTGTAGGGATGCTGCCCTCCTCTGTGTCAGGGAATATGTTAATTCCACATCAGAAGAAAGCCATGATGAAGATGAAATTCGGCCTGTGCAGCAGCAGGACCTACATCGGGCAATTGAAAAGATGAAGAAATCAAAGGATGCAGCATTTCAGAATGTTTTAACACATGTTTGTTTAGATTAAAAGTAAAGATCATTTGTACAGTTCAGTGATCTAGTCTGATGTGCCCTCTTATCAGCTGTGGAAATACAGTGGAAGGAGCACTCTGTAAACAGTGAGGGAGTTCTATATGTGAGGTTTTATACTCTGAATTCTAAGTTATTGAGATACAACTATTATATAAACGGTATTACTACTTGTCAGAAATCATGAGGAGGAACAATTTAATTCAGCCTGAGTGGGTGCTTGTGTTTGACCTCTTTAGCCATATGTTGTTACAGCCTTATAGAATTTAAGCTGGTCTTAACGTAACAAATGATTCATTGGTTCTAGTGAGAAATGGGGATGTGGTTATAGGTGCTGGTTCCTAGATGTGTGAGTCTGTGTGAGTGTGTGTGAGTGTGTATGTGTATTAAATGTATATAGCCACACATTTTATATTGGCATTCTGTAGATATGTTTGAATACAGAAACTTTTTTTTTACCCCAACTACTGAATCCAAAAGTACCAGATAGTATATAGCAAAAACTGAGATTTAAGGTTGTGTCTAAAGGTACAGTGATTCAGCCATTTTCAGTTGTCATTTGTTTCAGCCTTTTTAATTTGAGCATTTCTCTGCTGCAGTTGGTTAGCTGGATTAGCCACGTCTGAATATATACATGTGGCTTAATCGTATGGTTGTCAGGATAATCAGTACTTGTTCAGCAATTAGCATCGAATGATTGTTAGGTGGTCATGTGATCAACATTGAGTTCTTTTTTTCTGCAAGCACACTAAGCTGAGTAGATTTTTTTTTAATTTGTTTTAAATTGATTTACTTGAGGGTAAATTAAAAGCTTTTTAAAAGAATTGGTTTGAGAAATATCAGTGCCCTTCAGTACATATATGTAACTTTCCTTTCTTCATTTAATGTAACAGAGAATTCTGTTGTAACCATGGTTTTTTTCTTTTAAATGTTGTTTTAAGTTATATGTTCTTCAATTATGGTCACATATAATTTGGTCACCAAATATGAAATGATAGTTGAAAACAAGTAACTGTTGCTAAATGTGCTTAAAAATATTCATTTTATAACTCGCATTTTTAAAGTTTCTTATTATCAATAGTGTCCTAGTTAAGAACAAATATACACCTCACAATTCCCATATTGTATCTGTAGTTATTTGATGCTGTGTGAACCACATATGAAATAATTTTTTTCAAAATTCCACTATCATAATTCTGTTTTCGGCACCTAAACCCAGTGTGAAGAAAATGGCACAGCACAATCTTGTGCCTTCTGAACCATCAGAAAGATTAAACCATGCTTGTTCTTGTTTTGTGTTTCTCTGAACTCTCAATCTTTATTCATGAGTTATTAGATTAATTTCTCTGATGTCTTTCCTGAGAATTTATTGGATAGTTTATTCTTCAGTTGTACTTTGCTGGTGAAAAAGTTGCAGAATGCTTTGGATAACAAAAAGCAAATTATGAAAGATTGTGAAGATGATGAAAAAAATGGAATGCAAAATACAAGATACCAAAAATAAAAAATTTTGTCCCATTTTTAATAACTATATTAGACTTATTTTATAAATGTATAATAAAAGGGTCCTTCTTCATTAATTTTTTACCTTTAAAAAAAAAAGATAGGCATGTGAGCAGATGAATACAACCCAGTTATAAGTGAATGTAAAGAACTTAAAACAGGAGTAGGCAATGTCACATAATGAGATAGGCCACTACTTGAAATGCCTGCATCCCATATTTGAAGTGCTAGTTGGAGTCCTATCTACTATACTTCCAATGCTCCTTGGAAGGCAACAGATAGTGGCTCAAGTACTTGAGTTCTAGCCACCCTTGTGGAAGACCCAGATGGAGTTCCTGGCTTCTGGCTTCAGCCTGATCCAGCTCTGGGTGTTGTGGCCATTTGGGAAATGAACCAGCAGATGGGAGATCTCTCTCTTGCTCTCACTCTCACTCTCGCTCTCGGTTACTTTGCCTCTCAGGTAAATAAGAATTGCGGTCCAAAAATATACAGAATTGTCCCAGCAACTTATTAAAGATGTACAAACCCTGTCTACCACCATCCAGGATCTTCAAGGTCAAATTGATTCCCTAGCAGAAGTGGTTCTACAAAATCGTAGAGGCTTAGACTTGCTTACTGCTGAACAGGGAGGTATTTGGCTTTACAGGAAAAACGTTGTTTTTATGCTAACCAATCCGGCATTGTTCACGATAAAATCAAGACACTTCAAGAAGATCTGGAGCATCATCGACGTGCCATGGCTGAAAATCCCCTTTGGACGGGATGGAATGGACTGCTTCCCTATTTGCTACCGCTTTTAGGCCCCATTGTTGGGTTGCTTGTTGTGCTATCTATAGGTCCTTGTCTCCTCAATAGGCTGATGACCTTTATCAGACAGCAAGTAGGTAATTTAGCAGCCAGACCAATTCAAATACATTACCAAAGTCTGGCCATGGAAGATCCCCTGGAGAACGTTACCTCTCTCTCTGGCCGATGAAGTCTGGCTGGTGAGGTCACGGTCCCTCCAACAACTGACTCTCCCCTTTGGTCTGCCGCTGCCCCAGTCGGGAGCCCAGGAAGGGCCCCAGGCCTATCAATAAAACGAGCAGTAAGCCAATGACGGGCACCTTCCCGGAACCTCACCCACCTAAGACAGGAGTCCTTGGGGACTGGCAAGGATGTCCAATGACGGGTAAGAGGTGATGGAGCTCTGGGTCGATTCCTAAGACAGGCACTGCTCGCTCATCACACTTGGCCTAACCGGTAGCCATTTCTGTTTAATTGATAAGAAAGGGGGATATGTCGGGGACCACGCAGCATGTGACCTCTTAGTAGAAAGACAGGGCTAGACAGGCCAGACCAGATAGTACTGATAACGCAACCTTGTGTGACCTCATGCCTTAAGGCCTTGTAACCTTTCCCCTACTTGCACAAGCATTGCAGCTACAAGATAAGCTCCCCCTCCTTCCCCCGCCTGATACCCTGCCTCTATGATATATAAGTGTGTGGTTGAAAAATAAAGTCGCAGCTTGATCAGCAAAAAAAAAAAAAATCTTAAAGAAATAATAAAGAACTGAAAGAATCATGATCTCACCTCAATCCTACCTACCACTTTTATGGCCATTTCCATCTAACTGGGGATGGGACTAGGTAGGGCCTGTTTCTCTATAGGACAAACCAATCTAGCATGGACCAAGACCTGAAAACACAGTGAATTAGTGGTAAAATAGGTGCATATAACACAGGTAGCTCTAACAGTGCTTGAGACAATTTCATCTGAAATGAAAAAGTGCTTTATAATGACAGCTGTAATGACAAGTGCCCAGGCCTAGGTAGGTACTAAGTCTCACAAGTGACACAAGTAGATATATGGGAAATTTATGGGTGGGCAATGTTTATATTCCGAGAAAGCAAGTTACTAACATCAGGAAGTTTAATAAGTATCAAGTCCTACCCATCAGTTTGAAGTTTAAGAGTAGTTCTACATTCTACAATTTCTCCACCTACAATACATTATAAACTAGTAAATTTGACAATGAAACTAATATAACCATTCTCACTGCACCTTTGAAGGGTCAGTCTCAACTCTGGAGTGACCATATGGAATACTATAACTCAACTCTAGAATGATCTGTGGATATGACTGTCATATTTACATTAAGATTCTTGAGTACATAGTGAACATGCTTTAGGGTCAGCTGCTAACTGGCCCTAAAGTTTACTCCAATGCCTATAGGTACCATTTCTAAAGTCTGCCCCAAGTTCAAGCCCATGTGAATTTGTACATTGGAAGAGCTTAAAAAATGTGTGTGAGGTACTCACTTGATGAATGTTTATACATACATATATATAAAAATATCTGTCCATGTTATTAAATAAATGTACTTATAAATTTATGAAAAATACTGAATATGAGGGATTCTAAACCATTGTAATTGCAAATGAGAAGAGTAGGAGTATGTGTTGCATAGATTAGTGGTTTTCTTTTTTTAAGATTTATTTTGGGGCTGGCACTGTAGTGTAGCAGGTAAAGCTGCCACCTGTAGTGCCAGCATCCCATATGGGACCCAGTTCAAGTACTGGCTGCTCCACTTCCAATCCAGCTCCCTCTTAATGTGCCTGGGAAAGCAGGGGGAAAATGGTCCAACTCCTTGGGCCCCTGCACCCACAATGGGAGACCCAGAGAAGGTTCTGGCTTCGGATCAGCCCAGTTCCAGTGATTGTGGCCATTTGGAGAGTGAACCAGCAGATGGAAGACCTCTCTCTCTCTCTCTCTCTCTCTCTCTCTGTGCCTCTGCCTCTTTGTAACTCTACCTATTTACTTGAAAGGCAGAGTGACACAGAGAGGGAGAGGGAGGAGAGGGAGAGGGAGAGGCACTGGGACAGGGAGAAGGATAGAGAAAGGGACCTTCTATCTGTTGGTTAACTCCCCAAATGGCTGCAATGGCCCAGGCTGGACCAAGCCAAAGCCAAGAGTCCAGAACTCCATCTAGGTCTTGCCTTGTGTGTAGCAAGGGCCCAAGTACTTGGGTTATTCCGCTGTTTTCCCAGACACATTAGCAGGGACCTGGATGGGAAGCAGAGCAAATGGGACTCAAACTGATGCTCCAATATGGGATGCTGGCATTGCAGGCAGTGGCTTAACACACTGTGCCATGATGCCAGCCCTAGATGAGTGGTTTTCATTTGGAATGAATGAGGAGGGGATCTGGAGAGAAAAAGAAAGAGGCTATTTGAATAATTGTGTGTGTAATTTGAATTAATTTCCCCAAGTTCTTTTCTCTCAGCTATGCATACCAAACTGAGACTCAGTGGCACAGTTGAATAATATTATTCAGCATCAGAAACTTTATCCTCACCTCCATCCGACATATTGGGACTAGCTTATGAGTTTCCCCCTAAACTCAAGAAACAGGTTTGTTGTATTTAATATGCTATTTCTGGGTGTTTTGTGACAGCGCAAGTTTTGCAGCATATTTATTTAACCATATTTCCAGAAGTGCAATTTCAATTCTTAAAAATGAAAATGAAAGATGCCTTT